TGAGTACAGCCCTGAGTACTGCAGATCATGACAAGGCATAGGCCCTTTGGGTAATAAGATGTGCAATGAGCCTGATAAATAAGCCAAGAGCTCATTAACTTCATTATGGAATCTGACCTCACAGACACAGACTGACCACTCATAAGCATATTTCTGCAAGTTTTTGCTGTAAATGAATCTGATGAATTTGCAGGCAACTTCGGTAACGCCCTGAGTGAGCAGTAACCTCAGCAGCTCATCTGATGATCTTATACATTTGGCTTGTTAGACCTCCTCAAAGAATGGCTCAAGTTGGAGGAGACTTCAAAATCAAGCAGTTCCAACCCCACTGCCACGGGCAGGGATGCCACCCATTAGATCAGGTTGCCCAGGGCCCCATCCAACTTGGTCTTGAACACCTCCAGGGATGGGGCATCCACAGCTTCTCTGGCAGCCTGTGCCAGTGCCTCACCACCCTCTGAGTGAAGAATTTTCTCCTAACCTCTAATCTAAACTCTTCTAGTTTAAAACCATTCCCCCTCATCCTGTCTTTATCTGACTGAAAATGAAAAAAAAAAAAAAAAGGTGCTCTCCATCTTCTTTATCAGCTTTATATGGTTGTAACAGAAATCTCATTGAAGTCAAAGCAAAATGAGAGTTACAGGCGTTGTCTTCTGTCATTTCATTGCTCTGCCTGTCTTTGAACAAAGGAGCAGGTTTCTTACACTTTACGTTTCTATTCTCACTTTAAAGTTTATCTGGAGATGAGACTAGTTTGGGGTTAGCTGATAGCTTTTGGGAATTCTTCCCTTAGGCAAGTCCCCAGGGGGTTAAACACAAGGTCAGGAGTTGCCAAAACATCACCCAGAGCCCTTCACCACGTCACACTCGTGTACCCACCACAGACTCACATCAGCATTTGTCAGGCAAAGCTTCTCTGCCGAGCAGAAGGTTGCAGGGGAGAAGGTTGGGTAGTTAAGTCATTCTCCTTGGAAATATAACAATAACATTTTAAAAATATATTTTGGAAATTACTTTTTTTTCCCTCCTATTTTTAGGAAAGGTTACGCAATTTGTGTTGTGGAGGTTATAGGTGATAATAAAAACCTCTTCTGCGAAATACATCATGCTGTTTGTCTAACAGCCTGGAACAAACTGAACAGAGATCTAAAGGGGAAGGAATTAATCTTGTGCTCATTCATCAGTAAAGAAAAATTATTATAATTAATTGTTATAACACAGCTATTTAACAAGGTACGCTGTTATCTTTTCATGTCCCATAGTGCAACTGAAAATTTCCTATCAGAAATCATTTTGATTGAAGGAACTGAAAGAGGCAATAGAAACCACTTGATTTAATGTCAGGAAGTTACTCTGATGGGAATGTATATTAGAATGAGCCACATTTATTTTGAGAAGTCACATTTACTGCTCATTCACCTTGGAATAAATATTTCCAAAAGTGATACAACTCATGCCAGCGATTATTCTGCTGATAACAGCTGAAACATAGGTGTGATCAGCAAAATAGGGCTTAGCTGTCTGCTCTGTGACCTTTGGACTCCAGTAATTGTTCCAAAGCATCAATTTTACCACAGTATATAGGCAAATGATGATGATAATTTTAGGATGCTAGTTTTTATTCTATGTATTTTTAAGGGTGAAATGAGGAAAGACCTCTCCTGGACAACATAGTACTTTTATGAAGCCCCTGTGAACATCATCTACCAGTTTTCTACAATTCAAGGTGACATAAATGCCAGATTGATGATAATTTAGTTAAGAACTGCATTATAGAATCATAGAATGGTTTGTGTTGGAAGAAACCTTAATGATCATCTAGTTCCAGCCCCCCGCCATGGGCTTGGACACCTCCCACCAGACCAGGCTGCCCAAAGCCCCATCCAGCCTGGCCTTGAGCACCTCCAGGGATGTGACATCCACAGCTTCTCTGGGCAACCTGTTCCAGTGCCTCACCAGAGAAAGTGAAGAATTGCTTTCTCATATCTAATCAAAATATACTCTTTTTTAGTTTAATATCAACCCTCCTTTGTCCCTGACAAAGAGTCCCTCCTCAGCTTTCCTGTAGTCCCTCTTTGGGTACTGGAAGGCTGCCATAAGGTCTCCGTGGAGCCTTCTCTTCTCCAGGCTTAACAACCCCAACTCCCTCAGCCGGTCTTCATAGGAGAGGTGCTCCAGGCCTCTGATCATCTCTGTGGCTCTCCTCTGGACCCACTTTAATAGGTCGATGCCCTTGTTGTGCTGGGGGCCTCAGAGCTGAACACAACAATCCAGGCGGGATCTCATTAGAGCAGAACAGAGAGGGAGAATTACCTCCCTCAGCCTGCTGGCCACGCTGCTTTTGATGTGGCCCAGGATATGGTTGGCTTTCTGGGCTGTAAGCATATATTGCTGACTCTTGTCAAGCTTCTTATCAAGCAAAGCCTTAGGTTCTTCTCATTAGGGCTGCCCTCAATCCATTCCCCCCACTCAACCTGCATTTATGCTTGGGATTGCCTCAGACCAGATGCAGGACCTTGCACTTGGCCTTGTTGAACCTCATGAGGTTTGCACAGGCCCACTTCTCAAGCCTGTCCAGGTCCCTCTGGATGGTATCCCTTCCCTCCAGCACATCAACCGCACCACACAGCCTGGTGTCATCAGCAAACTTGCTGAGGGTGCACTCAACGTCACTGCCTATGTCACCGACAACAACAAAGATATTAAACAGTGACTGTCCCAATAGCGGCCCCTGAGGAATATCACTCGTTACTGGTCTCCACCTGGACATTGTGCCATTGACTGCATTTCTTTGAGTGTGACCATCCAGCCAATTCCTTACCCACCAAGTGGCCCATCCATCAAATCCATGTCTTTCCAATTTAGAGACGAGGATATCATAGCGGATAGTGACAAATGCTTTGCACAAGTCCAAGTAAATGATGTCAGTTGCTCCTCCCCTATTCATCAGTGCTATAACTCCACCATAGAAAGTTGACAGATTTAAAAAAGGAAAGGCCTGAATGCTATTGCTATGTGAGTAGGAAACAGTGAGTTATGGAAGACACCATGTGTCTGGCTGCTTTCACACCTCTCTAACAGTACAGAACGTACACAGCAGAAGCATCCAGCCATACCCTCAGTGATCTCCCAATTTCTTTGAGACCAGAGGACAGGTAGCAGATCTCTGGGGCAGCGGAACAGGAGGAACCAACAAGATATTCCTCCTGTGGAAAGTACAAGAGTTTTAAACTATCAAAGACTTTTAATATGTAATTGCTTTGTTCTTCAATGTGTACGTGATGCTTTTTTTTCTTCCTCCAGCATTTTCAAATGCTCACAGCAACTTATTCTGTAGGTATAACTCAATTGTTCCTCTCTCTTGGTTTTCCAAGCTTGAAATGGATCCTGCTGATCTGAACTATCATTTAAAAGAAACGCCATTGCATATTTTTCCTTTAAAAAGGGTTTGGTTTAGGCTTGTCATGTCACAGCCTGGTCCATAGTTTATCTTTACTGAAAAACAGGCCTGAATAGGTGTCATCAATCTCTTTGGTAACAAAAACTGATATGAAGAAGTCTCACATGACAGAAAGCATTTATCTCATGGTGGTACCATTTTCCAGCAGGCTTATTGCATACCAGTTACTGCAGAAGCACATTTGGTTATTTTTTGTTCACCTCTGGCTTCATGCTCTTCAATTTTTCCCTTCATTTTTCCTTGTGTTGTTCAGGGACTAGAGTGCTACAGTGCTGTAATCTCAAACTCAGGCTTACATTTCCCAAAAGGGCTCTTCTTTAACAACATAGTTGAGAATCAGTATGTTGGCTTTACTGTGACCCCTCCTGTAAAGTTGTTAAGTTTAACTGCATTTTTAAAATTAACATCTAATAGCTAGAGTGGAGTTTATGAGCTGCAGTAAGTACTTCAAAAGCCCCTGTATCTGCAGCTAGAATACTTTCTAGTTCATGATTTTTACAGCAATAAAATCAAATGCACATAGTTTATGATGAGATCTTTTCCCTTGTAGTGATTTCTTTTGTATCATCAAAAGCAGAAAGATTACTCTTTAATACCTAAGATAAATCTCAGCTGTTGTACAGTAAAGCAGGACACAATAACTCCAGAGTTCCCAATTGCTATTCACTTTCAAGCCATCCCTCACCCACTCATCTCCACGCTTGGAACACCTATGGAGCAGTTTAAACCAATTTTAAACTCTGCTGGCAATTTTTTTAAGAAATCTTTCTAAGGCTGTCTGAGACGTTTTCAAAAGAAAAACCGTTTACAAGCAAGCTTTCTAGACAGGCAGCCAACATAACAGCCAAACATCAAGCAGAATTGTCTCTTAAAAAGGGGAGAAACAAGGAATAATGAGATATGCTGGCTAGCTATCAGAGATCTGCAGAGCTCTCCAGTCATTTAATTTTGATTAACTAGCCCGGCAGCAGAATAGCAAAATTGCTTTGTATTTCTAATTCCTCTCAGAATGCTAACAGAAAAAATAATAAAAGCCTACTGAAATATTAGCTAATGGCAAGTTTCCTCACAAGATGTCCATGTATATGTAAGAGATGGTCACAAGTATAACTCCCTGTGGCTATGGCACTGCTGAACCCTGGACATTTCATTTAGTGTCTGAAAAGATTTCTTCTGTTCAGTTTCAAAATAAAGATTGAGAAAGCCATTGAGCTGGGCTTCCTTTAACTCAGATTTTTTTTTTTTTTAGAATTACCTTTTAAATTATATTTATCTATAAAAATATTATCTTTCCAATGTAATATTTTATGAAAGTTGATCATAATCCAGAACATGCAGAGCTATTATTGGATTATTCAGATATGATATTGTTGCAATATTCATTATTCTCATTTCATTTGTAAAGCGATTAAAGGCACATATTTCATGTAAAATGGCACCTTGTCTTTTCTAAATTACGGCTTCTCTCTCTGCATTGCCACGCAACATTTCCAGGATGAAAATGATCCTCTCTCTGAAGCCGTTTTGCAGAAGCACTCACCTTGGAATTGGCAGGTTTATGTTCACATCCTCTTTGCAGTGGGTGGTACAGTTCCAGAAGAAGAGACATAGAGACTAATCGTGGAGTATTCACGAGTTTTGAAGCTGGCTCATTTCCCTAGGATGCAGATCTGATCTCAGTTCCTTGCTCAAAATCAAGTAGAGTGGAAAAAGATTTTCCTCCAGCCTAAGAAGCACCTTATCCACAGTTTTCAGGGATCTGATAGACACACACAAACAACCTTGTGATCCCAGAAAGTATGTGCTAGAATCACTTTTTATAAGGGGAAGAGAATATTTCCTCTTGCACCAGATAGGGCTCCACAAGCAAGGTCGCCCTGGTTTAACCATCATGTCAGCTTTCACTCAGCTGAGGTCTGCCCGACAGGCGTAGTACAAATGCAATAGCAGTGTCCGAACGTTGGCATCAGCCCCAGCTATTAAAATTACATCCATCAGGCTCCTCTTCAACTTCAACAGTGTTCACTAACAAGGTGTGTGTGAAGACAAATATATATATATATATGCATTGGTGCTGTAAAACAAAGTCCCAAACCTTTTCTCAGTTCCATAATGACTCCCTAAATAATTTAGACAGATAACAAAATAATATAGCAAGTAGGGTCCAGTTCTGGCAAATTAACATTCTGAGCTTGTTAGAGAGGAGCTGTCATATAAATTGTGTTACTGATGCCTTTTGACTGCTCCTCCATTTGCAGGGAAGATCCCCTGATGAGGAAAGGAGTCTCTCCCATGTACTGTGTTGGGACATGCTAGAAGTGAAGTAGGGCCTGTGGGTGATACCATGGCAATAGTATTTACTACCTAAACTGGATGGTGCATTGCTTGAAATCTGCTGTTCCAAAACTTATCCTAGAAATACATGAAGTTAAGTAGCATTTGTTATCAAGAAAGGTTTTATAGCTCTCAAGCAGAACATCCAGCTGCAGAACAGCAGCCTACTCACTTCCTTCAAGGAAGGCCCTCATGAAGAGAGCATTAGCCAGGGCTGTGAGAAATAGTCTTATATATCTGATCTAAAAGAAGTCTTTTAATCAGAAGACTTATGTCCCAAGTGATCTCTGGATTATTGGCTTCATCTTCTTCCTAAAGGGGAGGGTTCAGCCCTGAGAAGAATAAAAAAAAAATATTCAATTTTTCAAAAGTAGAGAAACTTTTCATGTAGCAAGAAAAACAGTGAGGTGGAATGGTGCATACTGGTGTGCATGGTGGGGAATAGTTGTAACAGTAAACAGAACATAGCAAGTATTTTAAATTATGGACACTGGAAACAATCTATGGTGTGTAATCAAATTTAATATTTATGTAAATAGATTAAGATGATCCCAGTTGTGATTATAAACAGATACCTAGCTTATGAGATTCAGGAGAACAAGATAGTCTTAAAATTGGCCTGAAACTCTACTTAATACAAAATTAATTGTTTACTTCTAAACAAATTATCTTCTAAATCATTAAAGACTATTTTAAAGCCTTTAAATAGTTTTTAGAGTGTAATTACTGCTGATTTCCAAGGAAAGTCACATTTCCAATACCTGAGCTGTTACAAAAGTATGTCATCCCAATTCATAAAACACCCAAGCTTTTTTGAAAACAACCTGTTTATCATAGCTCAAGTGTGTGCAATTAAGCGGATTGTGCTATTTGACTTTTCTTGTTCCAGAGCTGTCGCAATGTGAAGGGAAAATAGTAATGTTTCTATACAATGCATAGGCATTGCTGCTTCTTCTGGTAACAAAATAATGTTTATTTTGACAGAAGCTGCTGGGAAACTCGTGAATACGCTAATCTCACTGCCTACCCATTTGTCTGCTAAAGGGCTCAGTAAGTCTGACAGCCCCCAGAACATTGAGATGTTCTTAAAGCTCAGCAAAACCATTCTCCCTCTGTTTATCCTGCTGTATATCTATTTCTCCTCCCCCTGAAGAAGAGACTGGAGGGGTGTGTGTGCATTTTAGGCAAAGGCTTCTTTGGGGATGGGATGTTAAGCAGGCAGCCAGCAAGCTACCCTAAGACAGACTGGTCCCTGCTTCTCTCCACGTAGGTCCTGGGGAACATGGCAGTAACCAAAGCAAGGTCCCCAACTCATGCCAACACCCTGACAGCCTGCTGGGGCACAGACGCATGTGGAGCAGCACAAACACATGAGCAAAGCACAGCCAGACCCTGCAGTGCCAAGGTGCACCCCCCTCAGAGGGATAGATTGCAAAGTACAAAGGACTACGGTACATCTCCGGCCACAGAGCCTCAGGCCACCAGGGTGAGAGCCTTCGTTCCTTTTTAAGACATGATGCCGAGGATGCAAAATATCTTCAAGGGCTACATGAGGCTGTGGCACGTGTGTATGCATCTCCCAAGAATGAAGGGTGGACCGCAGCCTTCATAAAATTTCTAAGTTGCCTGCTGATAATTGTCCAGTCCCATTATTCTCAATTTCTCCACCAGCACTACCCTATCCAATCTCCCCTCCTCTGTGAGCTAGCGCTGCCTCATGAATAAACCACTACAATAAGCCCTTAATATCCTAAAACATCCTGAGCTTCTTGCCTAAATGAGCTGCTCTGGTTTCAGCCATAACAGCTGCGGTTTGCACTACTCAGCCCTTCAGGGTGGTTCAGCTCAGCAAAAGCTGCTCTGAAAATACGGCAAAAGATGTCTTCCTCACAAAGGATGTGAGTAAATGAGCAGAGGGAGAGCTGGCTGCCCTGCCTTGGCGAAGAGTCACACGCTCCCAGCACCTCTCTAATAATTTATACAAATCTTAAGCCAGCAGTAACTGGAACTGAAACATTTTGCCTTCCACGTTACACCTCACCCCGCACATTTTTACAGATAGCTGATTTAAAACATCCACTCATTAGTCTGTGGTTGTGATATATGACTACTGAGCGCACAAAGATTCAAGGCTCTGCTGCACAGTGCCAATGATTTCAGTTCCTTTACGGTACCCAGAGGAGAGCTGCTAATCCACAGCCAAGCACTGCAAGGTCTGATTTTCTGATGACCTCCCCTTTTTACTGCCAGGAGACAGCAACAGCACAAACTGTGCAGAACTGGGGCTGGGGAAGGGATCTCACATCGTTCATTTTGCTGCCACACCATACACGAGAGGTGTCAGGAACAAGAGGCTCTGTAACTCTACTCATAACATTTTGGTGTAGCATTGCACTATTTGAGGCATCCACATTGACGTTATGTAGCCTGAAATTATTGCATAATGAATTTTGGGGGGTTTTGAACTCCACTGGACACTCATATGGCCTGGAAGGTTTCACCCAGAAGAAGAAACAAATAAAAATGCAAGGAAAGAGGCATAACACAGAGGCGGTGTTGTTCCCAGGAGTTACATCACAGAAGTACTAATTACAATAACTTGATGTTGCCCAGACAGTGGCATTCTGTCAAGTTAATGAATATTAGCATAGTGACAAATCATTTTGTTTCTAATTAGGCACTACAGTATTCTCCTTTTCAGTTAAATGATTTTAAAGTATTTCACCATGTTTGGTTGCTCTTGTAGTTTTTTCTTCATTTGAAGCATACAAATACTTTGAGAGAACTTTCCCAAATTTTCAGCTATTTAAAAGCACACAGTTAATTTTTGTTAATCAGTCCTGCTGTTCACAATCATGCCTAAAGTACACAAATTACATCACTTTTTATACATTTATACATCATCTATAGCACCAGATTGTGCAAAATATTCTTGTAAGAGTCAAGGAGGTACTCAGGCTTGAATGCATCGTTTCTGTACTTCCAGAGAGCAAAAGCATGCTGATGAATGAGCAACCTCACAGCTGTAGAAACAAATGGTATTTTTCCCCCCAGTTGCCTCCACTAGCATCCTCACAGATGACTTGGGCACCCTTTCTTCTGAATTACTGAAACACTCTGCCTGTAGAGCCATATGCATATTGATGTTGTGCTGTTACCAGATGCTTACACTACAGAAATTCTAATTACAGGATTGGACTCTGCCTAGATGATGGTAGTCTGTCAAATTAATAACTATTATAACTCAGTCAGTGCTGGCACCACAAAGCCCTGACGTTTTCTTATTTAAATAGCTTGTACTCGTGGGGGACTTCAACTTCCCAGACATATCCTGGAAGCACAACACAGCCCAGAGGAAGCAGTCTAGGAGGTTTCTGGAGAAAGTGGAAGATAGCTTCCTGACGCAGCTGATTAGTGAACCTACCAGGGGTGGTGCCCTGCTAGACCTTCTCTTCACAAACAGAGAAGGACTGGTGGAGGATGTGATTGTCGGGAACAGTCTTGGGCAGAGTGACCACGAAATGGTGGAGTTCTCTATTCTTGGCGGGGCCAGGAAGGGAACCAGTAAAACCACTGTATTGGACTTTCGGAGGGCTGACTTTAGGCTGCTCAGGACACTGGTTGGTGGAGTCCCATGGGAGGCGGTTCTGAAGGGCAGAGGGGTTCAGGAAGGCTGGGTGCTATTCAAGAGGCAAATCCTAATGGCACAGGAGCGGTCTATCCCCATGTGCCCAAAGATGAGCCAGCGGGGAAGACGACCAGCCTGGCTCAACAGAGAATTGTGGCTTGAGCTTAGGAGGAAAAAGAGGGTTTATAATCTTTGGAAAATTGGGCAGGCCACTAGGGAGGACTATAAGGATGTAGCGAGGCTGTGCAGGGACAAAATTAGGAAGGCCAAAGCTCATCTGGAGCTCAATCTGGCTACTGCCGTTAAAGATAACAAAAAACGCTTTTATAAATACATCAACACAAAAAGGAGGACTAAGGAGAATCTCCATCCTTTACTGGATGCGGGGGGAAACTTAGTTACAAGAGATGAGGAAAAGGCGGAGGTGCTCAATGCCTTCTTTGCCTCAGTCTTTAGTGGTAAAACCAGTTGCTCTCTGGATACCCAGTACCCAGAACTGGTGGAAGGGGACGGGGAGCAGGATGTGGCCCTCACCATCCACGAAGAACTGGTTGGTGACCTGCTACGGCACTTGGATGTGCACAAGTCGATGGGGCCGGATGGGATCCACCCAAGGGTACTGAGAGAACTGGCAGAGGAGCTGGCCAAGCCCCTATCCATCATTTATCAGCAGTCCTGGCTATCGGGGGAGGTCCCAGCTGACTGGCGGCTAGCAAACGTGACGCCCATCTACAAGAAGGGCCGGAGGGCAGACCCGGGGAACTACAGGCCGGTCAGTTTGACCTCAGTGCCAGGGAAGCTCATGGAGCAGATCCTCTTGGGAGTCATCATGCGGCACTTGAAGGGCAAGCAGGCGATCAGGCCCAGTCAGCATGGGTTTATGGAAGGCAGATCCTGCTTGACGAACCTGATCTCCTTCTACGACAAAGTGACGCGCTGGGTGGACGAGGGAAAGGCTGTGGATGTGGTCTACCTTGACTTCAGCAAGGCTTTTGACACCGTTTCCCACAGCATTCTCCTCAAGAAACTGGCTGCTCTTGGCTTGGACTGGCGCACGCTTCGTTGGGTTAGAAACTGGCTGGATAGCCGGGCCCAGAGAGTTGTGGTAAATGGAGCCAAGTCCAGTTGGAGGCCAGTCACTAGTGGCGTCCCCCAGGGCTCGGTGCTGGGGCCGGTCCTCTTTAACATCTTCATCAATGATCTGGATGAGGGCATTGAGTGCACCCTCAGTAAGTTTGCAGATGACACCAAGCTAGGTGCATGTGTCGATCTGCTTGAGGGTAGGAAGGCTCTGCAGGAGGATCTGGATAGGCTGCACCGATGGGCTGAGGTCAACTGTATGAAGTTCAACAAGGCCAAGTGCCGGGTCCTGCACCTGGGGCGCAATAACCCCAAGCAGAGCTACAGGCTGGGAGAGGAATGGCTGGAGAGCTGCCAGGCAGAGAAGGACCTGGGAGTGATGGTGGACAGTCGGCTGAATATGAGCCAGCAGTGTGCTCAGGTGGCCAAGAAGGCCAACGGCATCCTGGCTTGTATCAGAAACACTGTGACCAGCAGGGCTAGGGAGGTGATCGTCCCCCTGTACTCGGCTCTGGTGAGGCCGCACCTCGAGTACTGTGTTCAGTTCTGGGCCCCTCGCTACAAGAAGGACATGGAGGTGCTTGAGCGGGTCCAGAGAAGGGCGACGAAGCTGGTGAGGGGCCTGGAGAGCAAGTCCTATGAGGAGCGGCTGAAGGAGCTGGGCTTGTTCAGCCTAGAGAAAAGGAGGCTCAGGGGTGACCTTATCACTCTGTATAAGTATATTAAAGGAGGCTCTAGCGAGATGGGGGTTGGCCTGTTCTCCCATGTGCCTGGTGACAGGACGAGGGGGAATGGGCTAAAGTTGCGCCAGGGGAGTTTTAGGTTAGATGTTAGGAAGAATTTCTTTACTGAAAGGGTTGTTAGACATTGGAACAGGCTGCCCAGGGAGGTGGTGGAGTCACCATCCCTGGAAGTCTTCAAAAGACGTTTAGATGTAGAACTTAGGGATATGGTTTAGTGGGGACTGTTAGTGTTAGGTCAGAGGTTGGACTCGATGATCTTGAGGTCTCTTCCAACCTAGAGATTCTGTGATTCTGTGATTCTGTGAAATGTTTTTGATTCAGAGCACAAGGAAGCTAATGACTTCCTCACAGAAACAAAAGGGAATATTACATCAGAAAAAGACTTATGGACAAATTCATAATACATTCAAGGGCTAATAAAAATCATGCTGCTTCTTTTAGGCATCGTTCAAGTGTTTTCTCTTCCATGTTGTGCCTGCTTCAAGGAGAAGTAACCAAAATAAAATAATTCAAGACAGATGACTCTATGCCTCTCAGAACACAGATCCAAATCCTTAATTACAAACAGTTTGATCAAGGTCCATAAGGTGCTGAGTGCTCCCTGTAGCAGGAGTGGAGGACTACTGGAAGACACCCAGCACTTTGCAGGACTAAACTCTGCTGGATGGTTTCCACTCCAAGCAGTGACTGGAGTAGAGTCATGAAATCCTGGTGGCAGGATTCAGGGCCTCCCACCAACCTGACCTACACCACGTCCCTTAGTGCCACATCTACACATCTCTTAAGTATCTCCAGGAATGGGGAGTCCACCACTTCCCTGGACAGCCTATTCCAATTCCCAACCACCTTTTCCATGAAGAAATTCTTCCTAATGTCCAATCTAATGTCTACCCATCATGGAGGCAACTCAAGACTTTAACCTCTGCTGACAGTGAATGATCACAGACCCCTGCTGTCCTTATGAGAAATAAAACTAATACTGTTTAAATCCTAACCTACATGAAGTTCTTCACTTTTGTCTTTATTTTTTAAAGCAAACTTACACAGTTTGTATGAATCCTACCCCCACCCCCAGGAGCAGGGAGAAGATTAGTGTTTTTTTTTTTTTTTTTTTAATTTCACCTGATTTTTCCACTGTAGCTGATGAGTGCTTTTCATTAAAGTTATGAATTAATTACCTTGAAGGAAATAGTTGTATCATCACCTGTGTTTAATATTCGCAATTAAGGAAAAGGAAGAAAAAATATCTAATAATGCACACAGGACGGAAGGACTGGTCTTGTATTTAATGACTGTTAGCTCCTAGCTCATTAATTTTTAAGTCCAAATAAACCCCCCTCAGTTTCTGATATGACAATGATGGATCCATGTACCAGAACTCTAAGGACATTTGAACCCGAGTAAAGAGAAGCAGCACCAAGCCTGCAGGCTTGTGACTGCCCCATGCTGACAGCCTGAACTGATGGGGCCTGCTCCTCTGAGACCTGAAACTGGTGCAAGCTTCTAAACTTTCTGCTCCGCTTTGCGCCTGTTACTTGGAGAAACACTTAGGACAATTATCCCTCTGCTGCTACTGATGAATCATTTGGGTGCGTAATTTCTTATCATGAACATACAACAGAAGAATACAGTATATCCAGAAGCTTCAGTATCAAAGTCCATGCAATTCTACTGGTCCACTGTTTTATAAATAAATGAGTGCTTAGAACTACTGTAAATATTACAAATATTTACATTTACATATTGTTGACAGCCAGAAGAGACAAATTAAGGTGGGATTTCACACATTAACAGTAACCAGGTGACCTGACACAACCGAAGAGATTCTTCCCAATATAACAATACTGTATCTTTGCAGAGAATGCCTGCTTATCTGGCATATGTCTAATGTGCTTTATTGCTGCAGCAGCCAGAGCATTTATTTAGAGCCTCACTGAGCTGCAGTACCACAGCCAGAGAAGTCACTGCACCATTCAGCCCTGGTTGCAGAACTGTGCTCCCAGACTTTGGCTTTTATTTAGGCCACTGATGCACCTACCCCAGAAATGCTCCTGGACATCACAGTGATGGAGAAAATAGTGCAAAGGTGCACTAGATTACTAAATGCCTTTGGTTTTTCCTAAAACAAGATCATCACCGTTCTTTTGTGGTTTTTGTTGTTGGCTGGTTGGTTTGGTTTGTTCTTTTTTGTTAATCACCTATGAAAGGTAGGTGGAAGATGCCAGTCATCATGCTTTTTAATTCCTGTAATACAAAATTAGACTTCTCTCTACATATTTAAGTTGCAGCATTGTCTTATTCTTGAGGATTCCTTTTTTTTATATAAAAAAATAAGCAGTTCAAAAAGGTGTATGCAATATGTGTTTTCCTTCAGTGGCTATGACCTTTAAAAATATTCAAGCTGGTGTTTGATTTAACATTTCAACAGCAAATATATTTTAATGCACAGAGGACTATTCTCAAAGTTCACAAAACTGTTTGCATAGATGAAAGGAACAGCTAAAAGATTGTACTAGGAAATTATATATACATGTATATGCATGTAGATTGCTTCCAGGTATAGAGTAACCTGAAAACAGCAAGGTTGCTCATATACAGCCTGACACTGCACACTTCTGATCACCTTCAGCTCCAAACCAACATTTATAAGCAGCTCTGTTCAAAGTTCACATACATAACCAGGAAAAGTTTCACTATTTCAGCAGAAGTAGATCATATCCTTCCCACTTGTTAGGCATTTTCCTGCAACCATCTTGCAAAGCAGAAACAGATTTTAGAGGAAGGACAGACCTCTCACAAGGAGAGCGTGTGGAGACCCGAGAACACACACAGGAGAGGTTAGACCATCACCATCTCTGGCTCCTGACCAGGGATCAAACCACAGTTCATTTGTTTAGACTGTACATTGCCAAAATGAAAGTGGGAAATGGCACAAGTTGAACAGAGATGGTGCCTGGTGATCTATGTACCCACAGCTGAACATCACGATATTAGTCTTATTTTCAGTGCTCATGGATCTTTCATAAAACAATCGGTGCCCTACTTTCTTTGTAATTTGTTAACCCCTCTAAAGATCATTTAAGTTATCTAAATTAGTTTCACACGTGGACCCAGTTACTTGTCCTTATGCAATCTAAATTGCGTGTTCTGGCTTTTCTCAAGTGTCTGGGCTCACATTTTTCAAAGTTTCAGGATTTTTAAAAATCCTGAAATCACTAATTCCAGTAGCTACTGAAGTTTGTTTAGACATTACATGCCCCCAAAGGAGGGGGTGGGGGTGTGAGAAGGTCACTCATTTCAGCAGAAGCATCTGCTGCTCTTGTGCACATGCCTTATGGATATTTTAGCTTTTTTCACTGTTGCTTAGCAAGCATCTCCCATGTGCTGAACTCTGGCTTGACTCAGTCAGCCAAACCTCAGCACCTGGTGCCACCCAAGATGCCCAGGGGAGTCCCACACCCCAGCACTGGCTGACTTGTATGACTGGTACTCTCTATGGCATCTCAAATTGCTCTAAATACCCCTGTTCAGATAAATAACTTACATCTGTTGTGCTAGAGACCGTCCCCCTCACCTCCCTAGTGCATTTGTAACCATATGCCTCAGCCTTGCCTTGTCTCCTCAGCACCTGAGCCTCAGCTTCTACTCTTACACCAGGGCATTTGGCAAGGCTCTCAGCCAAATGTGGCCATGGAGACAACATGGTGAAAAGGGGCAGCTCTTGGAGGCTAAATCTTCTCTCCCCTGGGGCTGAAGACACAAAGTCCATGCCTATCCCTATGAGCTCAGCATCCCTCACCCCTAATGGGAAGCAATGACAGCACCAAGCTCTTGCTGGCCGTGCCAAGTCCAGTCACTGGGAAACTAGAGGGTGGGGAGGTGTGCCAGTCGAGGCATTTCTCCTCCCTCCCTGTGGGAGGCTCTGAATTTACACACTTGGTTTCTCTAAAATGGCATATTCCTCCTAGCCAGAGCTAGGCAGAATGGGCTTCCTTCTTTGCAGGCAGCAGCATTTTCAAGCCCATAATGTTCAGCAGGCATATAAATAGTCGTTGAATATGGACTATGATTTAGAGGATTTTTCTTGCCTTTTTTTTTGTTGTGGTTGTTGCTAATTTTTCAAGGGGGTGTTTGTATTTAAATTCCCAGATCATGATTATCTTTCTGTAGAATGCATAGGTATTCTATTAATATTAATTAATACTATTAATACAGACTACTTTAGAAATGCACCCAGTTCAAAGTGCTTTTTTCTGTTTCATTTTGTGTCTGTCCCATATTCCCCAACACACACACCCCAGCCACAACCCCCTACCAATCTGAGGGGCTCTTGCTGGTACAAGCACTCATTTACTGTGCTGGTGGGCAAAACTCACAGCTGAAGCCATCAACTTAATCTTTAGAAATAAAATCTGTGCTTGCAAGATGTTCATAAAGTGCAAAATCTTCTTAATGTGGAATTTGTTGGGTTTGTTTGTTGGACTCTTCCAAGCCTGTGGACACTCATTCCCATCACCCCACATCTCCCAGTCAGTTCAAGCTCAGGCAGAGCCCGGGAGCTGCTTGCTAATCTACATGCGATATGCCAACACTGCCCACATCTGTACCTCGAATGTCAGAAGGCTGCTCCTGCCTCTTTGGTGCTGCCAGAGCTGGGATCAGTTCAGAAAGCCTCCTGCAGACCCAGAGCTGATGATCTCCTTCTGGTCTGTCAGTGGCAGAATCCAAATGGAGGCTCCTTCAATTAGGAAAAAAAAAATAAAAAATAAAAGAGTTATGAAGAGAACAGTCTCTGCTAAATAGTCTGTTTGGGGATTTGTTTTTCCCTTTGCCTAGAATAATGCATATATATTATTGAAAGAGCATGAGACCCCTCCTGTTCACCTCTACTTCTGAGAGAAAAAGTTTGTCTTTTTCTCTTGGTCTAGTGTCATAACACTGCCTTAATCTCTCCAGCTGGGCAACTGCTGTTTTTTACGGATGATGTTTATCTTTCTCTGCTGTTGCATTATTTAAACATTCTGTCACAGACAGTGGCACTCAGGCTAAATATTTTAAAAATCAGTGAAACAAAAGCCTTTCAAAACATTACTCATTGGGGGGACATTTTATCAGGACTGTACCGGGTGTCAGTTTTATAGCGGTCAACCTTGCTAATACTCCGTTTGTGCTCAACCTTACTAATACTCCATTTGTGCTTACAGACATTTGCAGATAAGAGTGAGCTTCAGGAAAAATGCTAATAAAATATTGGCAGTTACAGTGCAAACTATTCACTGAAGCAGATTTCTAATCTGCTTTGAAAATATTGTCTGGAAAATTCAGAAGCAACAACACAGCATGCAAGGGAAACGAGACAGAATCCAACTCATCCTTGGACTGATGCTCCTTGATCCTGCTCTTTAAGACAGCAGACAGCTCAAGACCAGTTTTCACTAAAGGATCCAAAAAAGCTTTCCTTTACTTCTGTATATGAAACACTGTCTTTACTATTTGGGATTTCAACCACTGGTATCTCCCAAGACCTGAAAACCAAAGAACATATGTGCTTTTAAATGCATTCGTGGTTCTTCATAAGAACTGAGTCTATGATCCACTCAGCTGTGTTTTTACTCATTCCAGGAAGAAGATTTCACAGCTAGAAAGGAAAACACCTTTGAGTCTTTGCTTTCATCTTCACAAAAGGGCAGCAAGAGCAAGTGTGCAATTTCTTTCCAACTAAATGCTAACAGATCAAAGAGCAAAAATTGCTAGCTTGAATGCCTGTAGTGTTTTTACACTCCAGGAAATCATTTTGTCTCCCAGCCATATTCTGGGCTGTGTGAAGGCTCCATGTTGCTGTCTGTCCATACAGCATTGCTAACAGAAAGATGGCTCCAGGAGGGAAGCTAAAGGTCCGTGCTTACAGATTGCTGACAATTCTGGAGAAAAACAAACCCAACCCCCCACCCCCACCCCCCCCCCCATTGGCAATGTCTTCATGCAAGAGGCGGCTAGTCTGCAGGACTCAGTCACAGGACACCATAAATGTGAAGAGTTGAGCTCAAAAAGGGTGCTGGAAAATTTGTGCAAAACAAATTAAGCCTCAAGATTGCTAGAGAAAGATTTTGGTGCAAACAAACAACCCCCCCCCTCAGGTTCCAGAAGCCCCTGAACTTTACTGGATGCCAGTAAAACACTTCAGGGGATTACAAAGTCTATCCTGCCCTCCCACTGCATCTGCTATGCTGGGGCTGCCCACTCTCCTGTGCCAAACAAACTTCTGGCCTCAGCAAGTACAGACCTGCTCCCTGTGCCATGTACAACCTCCCTGTGCTCCCTGGTACTGCACTGGGAAGGCTACCCCGATATAGAAATAGTGTTATGGGAATAAAACGATACACTAAGGAAGCCATAAAACCACACTTTAGTTATTATGCCATACCTTCTCCAAGCAGGTGAGCCTTACAACGGATCAAACGTCACTGACAAAAGGCTTCGTTTCCCAGAGAATACAAAATGACATCTCTTGCAACGTATTTTTCCAAGGTCTACTTCTGCCAGGAGCCCTTAGTTAAATAACACCCCAAATCATTCATAGCACACTCATCTTCCCACACCTACTTCTCCAAAGAAGAGGCTCAAAATATCCACAGAGCTATTCAGTGCTTTAGTAATAAGTTACAAATATTTATTGATTTAGCTTTCCAAGAGGCTCAAGTGTTCAGCCTGTTATCTAGCTTGAAGGTATATATCCCCTTCTTAAGCCTTGCCAGAGAAGTAGAGGATTTCTGCCAAGCTAGTTTATTGTCCTTCTCTTTCCCCCATGGCTATCAATACCACAGAGTCCTGTATGTCAGCCTTCTGCTCAGGAATTGATTTTAGCCTCTAGTCTGCCACAAACATGGTGAGGTTGGCTGGTGCCTTTCTGATGGAGATGCTTTTCCTCTGGGTTAACGCTAAGGAAGAAGTGCCCTGTTCACCCTAATCCAACTAAATTTATATAACCAATATTATTCCTGCAAACTGCATACTTACTATTTAAGTGCTAGAAGCAAGCATTATATAGGGAAGTACAATCCAGCGATGCCACCAGATCATTTCCCATACTATTCACTTACAAGTTTCTGCTGAATTCCTCCCGTGTTTGGTGCCAGAAGACCCAGTAAGAAGGGACCATGAGAGCAAGCTTCACAAACAACTGCTCTACACGGCAAAAGCCAGACCTGAAGAGATCTCAATGGCACTTTTTCTTTCCCTGTGTAAAAACAGGTCCAAGAAGAACAGATGGAACAGAAACAGGAAAACCTCCTTTGAAATGATTACAAACTCCCCAATATGATTTCAACATGCTTACAGTCCAATGCACCCCAGCAAACACTACACAGTGCGTACATATAATGCTATTACCAGTCAGATGGTTTACAACCCCTCAAGTTTTGCCCATATACATTTAACATAATGCTCATTGTCTGTGCCATAGGATTAGGGTTTTTAAATGATTCCAAAGAGCCCATAACTAAATCAATCCAAGAAATTGCTATCGTTTTAGGTTTCATTCATCATACACGTGATTTTGGTGCTGTTATCCACAAAAAGACCCTGAAGATGCTTTGCTTGCTATTTAAGTAAAAGAACTGTGATCCGATTGTTACTGTATTTATTTCACCTTGCAGAGGTTTAACAACCACTGATGATGGATTATTGAACAGAGAAAGATAAAATCTCTTTAAATCTCCGTATTTTTTTAAATGTCAGTTTTATTAATATGCCTTTTCATCTTTTAAACAATTGGCAGCTGCTCGATCACAAACACACCTTTCATCATTTAAAAAGCCCACAAGTGCTTTTGTGCTACCTCTTTCCTACCACAGAGATGAAGAGCAGCCCAGCAGGCATTTGTTAAACCTCTCCTTTGAAGTACGGTTGTTCTGATGTCAGGGACGTTTCTTCTAGCCTGACCTTATGAAAGAGATGATTCACATTTCACTCTCTCTATTGCACATAATTTAGAGTCCATGTAAAGCAAGGAAATAAGAAATTATGCTTTTGTAAACTTTGAAAAACACAGGGTTGGATTGTTGTCCCGCCTGTGACACCAGCTCCCCGCAGCTGCTCCTTGATCACAGCCCTCTGGGATGCTGGAGCTGAGTCTCCGAGCAGAGAAAAGCCAATGACTGCAGCTGCTCAGAGGGGATCTTACTTTATCAAAGCAGAGGCACTGAACCAGAGCCACAGGAAGGCATGGGCAGCACAAAGCCAACTCGTACACTGGCCCCGGGAATTTACTTTGCTTTAAATGAGAGAAAACTCCCATGCACATTGTGTGTCTGAGGGCAGATGGGCACACACAGTGGTGCCAGGTGAACCTCCTGGAGAAGCCCCACCACCTCTTGTTCCCCTTTGGTGAGCTGTTGCTCAAGCAGGTAGGGATGTGCTTGGCAAACACTGTCACCACACCATCCGTGCCAGTTCACAGTCAGCAAGGCTTTATCTGAGAGTTCCTGTCAGGCTCACCCATGGCCATGGCTCAAGGTGTAAAGCAACAACACACAACCAGATACTGTTTTGTGCTTACACCACATCCAGAGCTTCTCCTAGGCATTTCTGCCACAACACCACAAATTGGTTACAGATTCTTAAAGTATTTTGCCTCTACTCTTAATATTATTTTTATTTTTTATTTTTATTTTTTGCTATGCCCTCATTATTACAGCCTTTATTACAATGTCTCCTTTAACTAGTTTTATATCAACAAAATAGTTCTGTTCAATCTACTTCAGCCTCCGTGTTTTTTGCTCAAGTGTACGTATGAAGAACACGTGCCTTTTTTTACATAACAGTCCATAGCTGGTGAGTGCAAAATATATTCTCTCAAGTGTTAGGAGTGGAAAAAATTATATTGAGGGAACATTAGAGAGCTATGCTTTGGGGAACTGTAGCTTGAAGGTGTGTTTGAAGACAGAAATTAAAATATAGCAAAGGAGTTGTAACCTGCGTTATTGCTTTACATAAGATTTAAATCACATTGGCAAAGTATTGCACAAAGAGTGTAGAAAAATATTTTGCACAATAATGTTTATGCAGATAACACAGTCCTTTCCATGCAGTTGAAGCTCATGGCAGTGTTCATATGCTAACCTACTTCATTCTAAATTCAGACTGCAAATCATTTTTCAAAGTTTGTATGGAGTATCTTTAATTTTTCCATTAAACATTTTTTTTGTTTTCTTTTCTATTTAAAAGGTAGAAAAAGAGGGGAACAGGAAAAATAGATGGAGAAATAACTTGTTTGGCTAAACCAATGCTTCAAAATTTCAGGTGGCTTATTCATCATTCTTAATTTAATCAAGATGGGGATAAAGGAACAAAGCCCTATATTTTATTCTTTCATCCCACTAAACAAAATGCTTGTGAGCTGACCAAGTAAGAGCATGTGACAGCACCCTTTTCTGTCTGTATTTGAAGATGAGTACCAAAGCAGGAGTGATTCAAATCTCTACCACCTAGTATTTCCAGAGCATCTTTGAGATCTAAATGCTTTAGGCTGTTACTAGTTTTTACTTTAACTAATTCCATAGGAAAACCAGGCTTAAAAGTAAAAAAAGTTTCATGAAAGAAAATTATGAAGCCTATTGCATTGGAAGGGATTGATCAGCTCTTTTCTTCTTATTTCAGCCAACCTTCACAGAAAAAGAGCCATAAGCTTTAGGATAACTATAACAACAAATGGTCTAAAAATATGAATACGCATTTCAAAAGCGCT